CTAATCTCCCAGTCCCGCCCCCTCCTGTCTCGCCTCCACCCTTTCCTTCAGCCTCGAATTCCTCAGTCCTGTCTTGTGGCATCCCCTGATCCTGTTCTCCTCACTTCCCCTATGGTCCAGACCTCTGGAGTCTAGTCCGTTTCCTTTCTCAGGCCAGGCCACTGTGTACTCTTGACTGTGCTGCTTCAATTCTTACCTGCCTTGCACTCCATCACACGCGCCCCCCGCCACCATGCTTGAGTCCCCATCAAGCGCAGCCCTACGCGTCTCCCCACACACTGGAGGCTTTGGCTGCTGCACTAACGCAGGATCCTTGCTTCACCGTCGTTTAGTTCTCAATGAAATGTCCGTGTCTCCTAGGTGGCTCTGTAGTGCCACCTTCAAGGGTGAGCGCGAATCTCTGCTCCGGGCTTGTGACGTGGTGGCGTTGCGTGTATGTGTGTAGATACGAGCTGTCTGCTGCAGGGGCCCCTGGCTGGCGGTCCCAGAGCTTGGGGGCCGTCTACACCCTTTCCTGCCCCTTCTCCGCTCAGAGCTGCGTGCTGTTGCCTAGTCTTCCAGTTTGCATCCATACTTGAGGCCGCATTCTAGTTTTGCAGATATGGTTCTGCTGGTGAATTTTTCAGACTCAAATATTTCCAGCTCTTGAAAGGAAATAAAGTTTAGGCTAACCCCTGACAGGGATATTCTCTTGGATTTTTCTCTTCAGCAGCCTGTCTGGTGAGGACTCCAAAGTCAGAGTCTGGTCTGATCCTTTCAAAGAGCATTTTGGACACTTTATGGCAGATGACATAGCCCTACATCATTGGTAAAATGCATGGAAACAATAATTGGTGATTGTTTTCAGACAGAAATTTCCTTTGAACGTCCATAGTTGCGTGATCCATTTTTTTTGCTTCAAGAAAAGGGTTATGATTTCTTTTGTATAGAGATGTCGGATTAGGTTATGGTCAGATAATATGATCAGATGAGATAATGATTAGGACTCAAACCCAGACCCTGGTTTTATAAAATAACAGGCGTATCCCAGCGATCTTTGCTCTGGAGAAACACAATCCTTTATTCCAGGGCCGGTAGGAAACATTTCTTACTAGGTAGATACAGTATATACATTGTAATTTTTATGGTTGCATGAAAGCCATTTTAACTTTGTAATGCTTTGTAAAACTTTAATTACTAACAACTTTAATTTGGTTCTCATAGTGTAATCTATAATTGATGTCAGATTGGTTTCAGTTTTCTTAAAAGCAGAAGTAACCGATTTTTTTGAGTTTTTTAATTCCAAAGTTTGTCTCAAATGTGTATATATTAATCATGCCTATCTGGCAGCTCTGGGCCTTTTCGTTGTGAAAAGGGGGGGCTTGGTTTGTCCTCCCAAATTCTTTTTGTATTCAGGAATTTAGATGCCATTAGACACAGGGATGCTTTAAAGAGTTGTGGGTGGCACTTGATATTGAACGATCAGGTGCTGGGTGTCATTTCCAAAACACCTTTTCCCTTTCCCCCATTGATTTTATTAGTGAACTGGGATGATCTGAGTGTGGTCCTCCCGGCCAAGGGATTGAGAGTTTAGTGGAGATTGGGGACACCCCAGATGCCAGCCAGCTGTTGAATGAGAATATAAGTGGAAACCTTGGAACTAGGTATTCTGTTGAAGAGAGTTTAGGTTTTGGCCTCATCTTTAAGGTTGTCAGGGGTTTTGAAATCTCTTCACTTCTGGCAAGTTGGATAGCCATCTTTCAAAAGTTCTTATACTTTTGTTACAGGTTTTGGAGTTTATTTCCATAGGTGATATTTGGAAAAAAAAATTTTTTTTTAATGAGCGATATTCTAACTTGTCAGTAAATATCACATAGAGCATAATTGAGTGCAGCAGATGAAGACATTGGAGTAATAAAAGAGCATTTAAAACTTGGGGGTCCATAATTGTATTTCAAGTCCATTGTAACATTCTTTGATTCTCTTTCACAGAGAATGTATGAATTTGGTTATTTACTTATTACAAAGTATTGTTGGGTGCTTATGTCTTCTGTTAAGTCTCAATCCTGATATTCAGAAATTTGTGTTAAAACACAGCACACGTGTTTGGTTTATGCCGAATATTTTGGGCATTGATTACATTTATGATTTTTTTTTTCTTCCTCTGGAACCTAGTTTGTTTTTGAGAACTTTTGGGTAGTGTGTTGAACTATGGAAACCTGGCCTAAGCAGTAGATAAAAGAGTGTTTGAGTCTTTTATCTGTAAAATAATATAACTTTAGTGAATGTCTTTGTGATATTTTAACAGGAAAATAATTTTTAAAATGGTTTCAGTAGGTTTAGGCATAATATGTACAAAATCAAGTGATTTTTGTTAAGTACATTATCTTGCAAACATTTTGGAGTTCGCTGACAAAACATTTAAAATTCAAGCAGGACTCGCAAAAAATTTTGTCCTTACGTGGTACACAAATGAATCCCAGATATGTTGTTTAGGCCACTTTGGGTATAAGAATGGACTTTTGAGCTCTAAGGGTTCTATAGTGCTCTTCAAGCAAATTGAATTTTATTCTAACATTAACTAGTTAGTTGAAATAGCAAATGCCTAAACTTTTTTTGTGGTTTTATACCTTGAAATACTCTCAGACCTCGTTGTTTTTCTACCTTTTGGAGTGTGACTAAGTATTGTGAAGAGAGAAAACTTCTATTTCTGAGAAGCAGAGACCTTCCTTGATAGCATGTGGAAATGGAGGCTATTTTTAAAGTGGTAGCACATGTGGTGTAAGGCCGACTTGTGTTTTGGTGTCCAGATGATGCAGCTGGGAGAGAAATAGTTGTAGTATAGCTGTTGATAACTTTAATTGATCAATAACAGTTAGGTGACCTAATTCATTCAAAATAGTTAAGTTGCCCTAAAGAAAGTTTTAGAAAGCTGGTAAGTTTTGCCCTTGCCAGTTTGTATTAGCAAAGACTTCATTTCTGTAAGGCAGACAACACTTTAGTTTTAACCACGGTAACTGGGATAAGGTCGAGTAGTCATCAGCTGCTGGGCATGCACTACAACCTGAGTTGTCAGCCTAAGTCTATGAAAGTACCGTCCACACACTTCTTTGAGG